AAATAAATTTATTAGTCATAAGTTGTTAGATTGACAAAAACACAAAGTTAGAGCATATTTAATAAATTTATCAAACTATAAAGAGTATATTATTTAAAAACTAAATATGTGGGTGAGAATCAACATAGTGTTACCCAAAAAAAATAATAAAGTTAGTTAATAACCAGTTTATATACTAATGCTTCACTCCATATAGTAAAGTAACTTAATAGTTCATCTACCTTAAGAGAATTATTTAATTAAGATCTGACGCAAAACTGCCTAAACATTTAAAAAAATAAAACTAACACTATGCAAATTCTCTCAACCAAAACATAATCAAATTATTTTCTTAGTACATCTAGTGTCTAGAAGACCCAAATGATATAATCTTGGACCTTCTTAATCTTCCAAGAATTGTAAATCTTCAATTTTAGATTCATTGGATCTTACCTTGTCACTTTGAATAAAATTTTTTAGTTCTGGAATTCCTATCTTAAAAATACGTTTAATAAAATTTTCAAATCCTATTTGATTTTTAATATCTTGTTTTGAGTTTGTTTTGACATTCATTAATAAGTTGCAATACTTTTGCTCAAGATTTTTAAAACTTTTTCAAATATGGAAATCCTACTTTAATCCATGGATGTTTTATTTTCTCCATGATACATTCGCATTCAACTAGTTGACACCTATCAACCTTTAAGTTTGACTTTAGATGACAATATAAAATATCCAACTTTTTTGTAATTCCATTTGGCAAATTTGATCGACAGTATTTAAAGTGTTGCAAGATATCCATATCCCTTGGAAATTGTGTTCCTAAACCATATAGTAGGGGGAGGGGGTCCATAATCGTCTTTTTTTAGATTTTTTATAGTTTAACCAATTTTTCTTAATTAGTTTTTTATGCTGATTCTGAAAATCATAATCATTTTTTTTCATTTTAATTATTCAGCCTTCTACTTCAATTTTAATAAAAGTCAATATATTGATAAAAAAAAGGCATTGTTAAAAATAGATGAAATTATTATTATCATTAAGTATAAAAAAAGTAGAAAAATAGAAATCTTTTTCTGTTTTATTTATCAATAATATACCTTACCATTTATAAGTAACAAAAAAAATTAAGCATTATATATGAAAATAATTCATACAGTTTGTTATTTATTATTGAAAATGGAAAATAACTATAAAAGTCTTCATATGTGATAGAGATTGCTGCGTGAACTTTCTATATAGATCATCTAGGTTATGAGTGTGTTCTTTGGTAGACATAAGATGGAGGTTTGTATTTTTATATCAACAATCATGTATTTAAACAGAATAGACCTCCGCGACAATGATTTACATTGTATCCCTAAAATAAAAAACTCATTTTTCGAACTTTTTTTTAATTTTAACATATCTTTATCTACTTCAATAATGTCTAGTTCACAGCTAAATGGGCTGCCTTGTAACTTTAATCAAGCTAAAACAGAACTCATCTTGCACACCTGATGTAAAGTTTGCTGCTCTTCCATTGCTATCCATTTGTTTTTGTAGCTGGTTTCAACTATATTCCATAGTTTCAACTTTTTGGACAAATAACTGGACAATAATTCTCCAAAATATTTTTAAACTGCGCAAACCTTCATTTTTTATATGGTTTAAATAATTAAGTATATATCTACTGTTGAAATTAAATGGTTTTTTCCAAAGCTTTCCAACTGCAACAACTTAATTAGAAAGTTAATACTAATCATATTCCATTATCAACAAACACATAACACTTTTCTCTTTTTTGAAGTCCTGAGGCTAACTCTTACCAAAATACTTTAGCAAGAATGATACAATCATTCAACCTCTTTTAGGTATACTTATTAACTGGTTCTAGAATTTTTTTTAACTAGCTATTCACTACATTTTAGAGTAAAGCAGAAAATTTCAAAATTTGATCTCCCAGTTTGTTTTTTATAAAGGTATCGGTGTTCCTTTATACTAACTGTTTATCTTTAGAATTGTTAAAACTTGAGAATTTAACTGAACTTCTACTTACTGGCACTTTAAAAGAAGATTTATTCTTGACTTCATTAAAGAAAAGTGAAAAAAAAAATGAAATCTTGAATAGCCTCCTTGATTGCTTGAATAACGATTAAAAAATAAATAAAAAAAAGGAAATTAAGATACTTTGAAGCAATCTGTCTTTTTGATTACTTAAAACGTTTTGTTTAGAAAGAGACTTTAGATAAAACTTTTTTTTTGAAGCAATCTGTCGTTTTACTTATTTAAAACCTTTTTTTTAAAAAAGACTTCAGATTAAACTTTTTTTTTCTAAAGCGCAACGATTAAAAATCAAATTTATCCAATCAAAATTTGAATAGCATAAATTTGAAAGAAAAGTTGCGTAACTTTATATGCAAAAAAACTTTTGCAAAAACTTTTATTTTTTATATCTTTTAAATTTTTAAAACAGAAGTAGAAGGTCAACCATAAAAAAATAGCAAAAACTGAATTGTTTTTTAAACTTTTCTCAAAAAATTAATTAAGAATAACTGGTTAAACAAGAAATATAGAATTTTGGTAAACAAGAAATATAGAATTGGTAATACTATTTTAATAAAAACCTCCTACATATAGGTTTTTATTAAAATAGTATTACCAATACTATATAAATAATATAAATAAGCGCACATTATTCATCTTACAGAGTATAATAGTGTGATGGATTAGCATCGATATTGAGATGAAAATGTGTTTTTCAGGTGATTAAAAAATATCATAAAACCGAATCGATAACTGTACATTATTTTTATTTCTATGCAACACATACCTGAAATAGCAGGCGTAGCTTTATCGATAATATGAAAAATCTTTTTAGAAGATCTCAAACTGTTATTGCGCAAAATCTTGTGTTTTCTGATAACTCATATCAATACTTGTTCAGTTACTTAAATTTTTATTTTGAATTTTAAAATTCAAAATCAAAAATGTAAATTTAAAACTTTGAATCAATATAGTGGCTTCATATTAATTGTTTTTTATTTAAAAATAAATTCATATGAAATTTTAGTAAAAGAACAGTGTAAAAGTAAAAGAAGTGTAATGGTTTGCTATTTATATTATTTTGGAAAATGGCAGGCAGAGGGGGATGCTTTAAAACCTACTTTCTATATATATGAGAGAACTTAATGAGATATGTATTTTTGTTTTAAAAACTCTCTCATTCTGAATAACCCTAATATATACATATATATAGTTTATATATGTATAGGAGAAAGCGGGTTTGGGTGTCAAGTGGAGTTGGATGTCACAAAGTTTACAGGAAATGTAGATAAGGTTTAGAACTTTAGATAAGGTTTAGAACTTTAGATAAGGTTTAGAACTTTAGATAAGGTTTAGAACTTTAGATAAGGTTTAGAACTTTAAAATTATACAATGGAAATGTTATATAAAAAAGAAACATTTTTACCATTTTCAGCTTTTTTTAGCGTGTAGGAAAGAGTTATTTGTTTTTATAGGTTTTTATTATGAAAATGTTAAATTTCGCTCACTTAGAAACTTTCTTTTACCAAATGAAAATTATTTTATCATAAATTATTTATGAATGGAAGTAAAAAAGAATTGATAAAGCCAAATTTTTCCAAAAAAAAACAACTTCTATAGTCTTAAATAAATAAATAAAGATACTCATCTAAAGATGAAGAGTATCTTTGAATTTATCTAAAGAAGAGTGTCATCTGTTGTTGTAAATCATTTGGTAACAGCAGATCAAGAGAAAAATGGATTCAATGTCAGGCTTGCCAAAAATGGGCTGATGAAGAATGCACACCAGGCTTACACCAATTTATATGTGAATTGTGTTCTTCATCCAACAATATATAGTCCTAAACTAAATGTGTTTATAGTGTTATATTAAAAAACACCTCTTTTGGTATATAGTGTTTTCTTTTTTTCAGTATATAACCTTTTTCTTTCAGATTATTCAAATTTATTTTTTGTATTATATAAACAAAATTTACTAGTACTAGTTTTAGATATAATCAAAACATATCAAGAAATGTGACAACAAACCCCATAGTATGTAACAACCAACCCTTTGGGTGGGTTGATTGTCACACAGAAGAGGCCTTCAATAAATGATTTTACAGCAAAAAATGTTTCACTCAATGTCATAAAATATTGCAATAGTTACCGGAAATAGTTAAATTACTTTTGTGCAAAGTTTGACATTGATTTTATATATATATATATATATATATATATATATATATATATATATATATATATATATATATATATATATATGTATATGTATATATTATTTATTAGAACATTTACACAAATTGTGTAAATATTCTAATAAATAAGACAATTTTTTAAATTTTTATTAAAATCATTTAATTTATAAAATAGATGTTTTGTCTATATCATAAATATCCTCAGTTAGAATATATTAAAATGCTTAAATCAATTTGTAAAATTAAGTTGAACTAATAGAGACCTTATAATAAAAAATAAAATAAAAACGCAATTAAAAAATTTAACAAATATTTTTGAAATTATAAAAGAACCGGTAATGCTAAAAGGAACTAGATTTTTTAGGTTTAATATAAATTTGTTGGAGGTCAAATCAAAAATTGAAAAATTAGCATAGTTAAAACTTTTTTTTTCAACATTTTCACTTTCATGACTGCTAACAACCACTATTAGAGTTGGAAGTTACTGGAAGAGAAAATATGAAGTTTATAGAGCAAGATAACGATTGACAGATGACTGAAGATATTGAAAATTATATGAATCAGATTAAAACTATTAAATCAGCTTTCATTTGAATGAATATGTTTGTAAATGTGCAAGTTTTTATCCCTTTTATAGTGCTCAATTTCATTTTTAACAAAAACTCTCAATTTCATCAAGAATTTTTGTTAAAAAATTCCATAATTTTTATTTTCTTTTAAATGTAAAAAAAACCTGATAAAAACATTAATACATTTCATATAACTTTTATTTTATATAAAAAAAAATTATATAAAACTAACACCAAGTAAAGTTTCCACACCAGCAAGTTGATGAGATTCAAACTAAAAATATAAAAACATTATCATTAAAGAAAACAATCTTAATGATGAAAAAAATATTTTTTTATTATATTTAAATTTAAAACAGACTAAAGTAAAAAGATTTAACTGGAACTAAACAGAAATATCTTTTGTTATTGATAAAAAAATTTATTGAATTCTGTTGAACTCTTTTATATTTATTTCATTTAATACAATGCATTTACTTCATCATATACAAAACAAACTTTCTACTACTTAAATATTTTTATTAACTTTATAAAACCAATCTATTTTATTTTGAAGGAACCTTTTAAGCAATGTTTTAGACATTTCAACTATCCTTTAGTCTAATAATTCTTGTTTGTCATACCTTTTTTAACTGTCACACATTATATTAAACTAAATATCTTATAAATGGAAAACATGACACTGTAAACCTATTTTTATAAAGAAAAATCTAGTGCTTTAAATAATGTTAGATTGGTTTGTTTAATGAGATAAAAAGTGTTATCAAGATAATTAACCGATTTCATTAGAATTAAGACATCTGTGACTAACAGATTAGTTTTCTCTGCCCTCTAAATCTGCACCTCAAATAATTATTGAAACAACAGGGCTACCTATTTAAATACTCATCTGGAAAACTTTTATAAAAATATTATATATTAAATTTGTGTAGCAAATGTCTTTATGTATACATGTGACAAAGCAAAGAAAAAAATATTAAAAAAAAAATTAAAAATGAGAGGAAAAAATATAAAGCTTTGAGTTAAAAAAAACATTAGAAAAATAGTTGACACATAGGCTTTTTATTGCTATTTACAAATTGAATTATTATAAGAATTACAACCACTTTTATTTTTATCAAAAATTCTCTACATAAATTTATAGACTTATTTACCACTTTTAGCAGCTTATTTTTTAGAATGATATCAATTTTTTAATTAGATATAGATTTTGAGAGACTTTATGCTTATTTTTAACTTTATACTTATTCTTAAGATAGAAATTTTTTTATTTGCTCTATTAGACTTTTGTCAATAGAGCAAATAAAAATATAATAATATAACAATAATGAAAGATACTAATAATTATTATTTCTTAAACATAAAGATAAAAATACCTAATATTTACAAGCTCAGTGTTTATAACATTTTATGCTTTATTTACATGTGGAAAAACAATTTAATTTTACCTATCTTAAAAGACCTTTTTTCTGTAAACCCAATTAATGTAAATATTTACTTCGAAATAAAAATTTTGTATATTAACCGATTTGCAGAACAAAATTTAACAAATTTTGCATTACATTTCGAGCACTATATCTTTGGAAAAAAAACTGTTATACCTAATTTTGATATATACAATACTTTTGCAATCTTTAAAAGTAAACTTAAAAATTTTATCTTAAGTCGATTCTCAGTTCAATAGCAAGAAATCCGAACCAGTCACAGCAGATATAGCAAAAAAAATTTAAGACTTCGCGTTCTTATTTCAAAAAAGTACTTAAAAATGCTGGAATTAAAGCATTTCATAAGAAAAATACACCTAAGAGAAGCTTAAACGGTGAAATTAAAGGAATTCAACATGCAAAGAAGTTAGTTAAAATAATGGCAGATAAAAGTATGTGCATAATTGAAGACAACGAATCATATTGCAGGGCTGATTTTTCACAACTTCCTGGTCAACAATTTTACTATGAGAACAAAGGTGAACCTGTCGATAATCAGTTTAAATATATTTGATGAGAAAAACTTGCATCCAAGTTTCTTGTGTAGCAAGCAATTTATAGCTGTGGTATGCAATATTTACATCAAAGAACGTCTCCAAAAATGACTTTTTCCATTTATGAAAAAACACAAACATCGAAGTCTCTTTTGGCTAGGGATGGCACTTTTACTTATTTTAATGTAAAAACGCAATTTACTTTTAAGTGTAAATTACTTACATAACTCATATTAAAATATATAATTCACTTACATTTAAAAGTAATTTTTTTTTTATTACATAAATTATATTACAAGTAAAACTTAATTACATAAATTTAATTACTTAAATTCGTAACTGTTACTTAAAAAAGTAATTTATTTTTACAAGTAAAAATAAATTACTTTAAAAGTTGTTTACTTTTTCTTCAAAAAGTAAATCACTTTTTCAGGTAAGTCGTTAAAAAGTAATATACTTTGAAAAGTAATTTCGATTTTACTTACTCCCAAAACTTACATTGAAAAGTAATTTACTTTTTATATGTAAAAAAGTTCTTTTCTGAGATAACATTATGTAAATGTAATGTTCGAAAAATGCAACACTTACTTATAAAAGTAGAATAAAAGTACATCATAAAAATAAATTACTTACATGTGTAAAAGTAACTAATTAGTAATGGCAACTTACATAAAAGTAATTTGAAAAAAAAAAAAAGATTCACTATTAAAATAAAAGTAATGTTTTTCTTTCAAATAATTATTTTACTTAGTAAGTAAGCAAAATGTAAATTACATTATTTACTTCTTCAAAAAACAAAGCCATTTTACAATATTTTTTTAAGGTAGGTAGTTTATTAAAAAGCATTAGTTGATGGGTACATCTGGGTTTTACTACTCGGAATCATTCAGATGTATGTGGGCCATTTTTGTGGCAGGGCATTACAAATTATACAAGTAGGGGCTAATATAGTTATTAGGATGGATTTGTAAAAGTAAGACAGTGACAGCGAGGGCCCTTGAGCTATAAGGAGCAAAATTATTTTTTCGTTTAGACTGAAAGTAGATTATTGGTCCTAATTAAACGTTTAAATGTGGTCAGGAAGAGGGCATAATTTTAATTTTTATTGTTACTCTTTAAATTATTTTTAAAGTGCCCCCAAGTAGTCTGTACGGTACAGAACCCCACGTAAAAGCATTTAACATTGTGCCTCTTTTCTAACCGATGTTGCAAAACTCACCCATTTTGTGGTAAAACTTTAACCTTTATGATCAAATATTTATTATGCATTATTTATTTGGTATCGAGGGGGGGGAGATATCCGTCAGGGGCAAGGAAAGCCGGTTAACCATAGACTAAAAGATCTGTGCACCACAAATTATGGAGCACACAGCTTTTATTATTACTTGGGGATCTAAGTTACTGAAAAGAAGGTTATTGGCAACAGCCTTCTTTTCAGTTGCTTTGGTGGCCAAGCCGCCCAAGTAATTTTCTAACATATTCGAATAAAATAGTGCTTTTAAAATATTTTGTTATTTTTTTCTAAAATTTTCTTTAAAATTTAATGTGAAGATGGGCAGTAGACTGTAAGCCATCAGTAGTTTATGTGGTTACAATGGTGTCTTTTCAATAGCTTATGTTGCTTCAATGATGCTTCTATCACTCTATTCAAGACTAAAATTTTATGAATAGTTCTTTAAAAAAAGTTAGCTATCATTTGGGTAAGAGTTGTTGTTAATAATTACCACGCTGACTTAAAGATCTTAAAGAAGGACGATGACGATAGACGATTTAAAATAGTCTTTTAAAACAAATGAATTTAATAAAAAAAGAAATTGAAATAAAAAGCATTTATGGTTTTAGAAAAATCTCAATTTTAAGTTTTAGCTCATTATACAAATCATTAGTTCGTTCTCATCTCAAGTATGGAGCAGTTATTTGGAACCCTTATTGGAAAGGAGAAATTAATAGACTTGAAAAAGTTCAAAATAGGGTGACCAAAATATCATGTCTAGTTAGTTATGGTCACGAAGAAAAAAACTTAAAACTAAAATTGCCTTCATTAAAAAACAGAAGACGAGGTGATTTAATTTAAATGTTCAAATTAGTAAAACGAATTGACAAAATAAATTTGCATAACCAAATTGAATATTTTAATACTAATGGTCAAGCAAGAGGTCATAAATTAAAAATGCATAAGAAGTCAATAAAAACACAAAATAACTACAAGTTTAACAGAATCAGACAAAAAATTTTCACTAATAGAGTTGTAAATGACTGGAATATACTAACACAAGATACCATCAAGTCAACAAACGGCAATTAATTTCAGAACTGTATTGGTAAATACTTTAAATTTTAACCTCAAATCTCAGATCTTGCATATTATTATAATTCTTGTTAAATTTTTTGGCTGTTATAGACTGAAACTCTACGCAATTTCAGTTTCGTAATTATAAAAACTCTTCTGAGTTACAGCTTCATTTCTATAATTCTATAATAAAATAATAAAGTTGAATGGATTTTTCTGTGTCCACCCGATATATATATATATATATATATATATATATATATATATATATATATATATATATATATATATATATATATATATATATATATATATATTAGTCCATCCCAAATATATATATATATATATATATATATATATATATATATATATATATATATATATATATATATATATATATATATATATGTATATATATATATATTTACCTTGATGAACCAATTTTAATATGGGGAGCATCATAAAATATTTCCAAGGTATTGTTTTCTTAATGAATTTTTTTATTTTAGATGACTACTTATACTCGCGCCACTCTTTTAAAGTTTAAAATTTTTACATTTTTTGAGTTTTTAAAATTTTTTAACAATCGGCACGAATAGAAATTTACAAATCATTAACTATATAATAACGTCATTACAAGTAATGGAAGGTCTTTTATCTATACCGATTGTGCGTATTTTTATTACTATTATTTTTGTTAACTGGTGGTATTTTAAAAATGCACAAATTCGTTATGAAACTAAAAAAACGTTGTTTTTAAACACAATTGCATTGAGGCCCAATACACAGCAATTAGAAATTTGTTAGATGCTTTTGATCTCATACAGTTCACCCATTTCAAGCCCTGGCTATTTAAAAGGAGTTTGTACAAGATTAGCTAAGTTTCCTGGCCGACCATCATATGAGAGAGCTTCATATAGCAGTAAATAAAACTGTTAAGCTGGAGAATAAAATATTTATATCATAAAACCATTAAAGGTTAAAAAATAGTAAGGTAAAGATAAAACTGCTTCACTTTAAAATATCTTTTTGCAAAAACAAATTTAATAAGTTTCTAATTTTAAAAATATTTACATTTAGACTTTTCAGAAGTGCAGAGATTATTATGAACTTGCGAAAAAAATCAGACCGTTAGGTGAAAATTAACAAACATGGAGCTGTTTCAGACGCTTTGAATTTCATGAAATTCAAGTTTCATTTCTCTAAACTCAGGCAGGTTTTTATTCTGAGTAATAGAATACTCAAAGAGATCAATAGAATGGCTGACTAAATTTCTCTCTCCATGGAATTGTGGTTTTGACCTGCGACTTTTCTGATTCTGCAATTCTTAAAGTAAAACTTAATTTCATAAGTTAAATTTCATAATATATTTTAGTCTTATTATTTAAGAATAGTTTGTGTCATGAAGTAACAAATTGTTTAAAAACAATGATTTGCAAAATGGTTTAAAATCAGATGTAAAATACAAACAAAATAACTCTAAACCAACTGTTTTTCTAATGACAGACTTTTCTTAAAATCAGTAGAAATAATAAAAAAATCAATAGAAACAGCACTTTGATTTTATCTTGTTAAGATTACAACATAAAAATGGTAAAAAGTTCTATATTCAAAAATAAAGAAACGTAATTCTTAACTTAAAACAAGAAACGTAATTCTTAAAACGTAAAAACAAAAAAATCAATTTTGCTGGGCTTACAGTAAAATTTATTCAAGATATGAATTTGGAGAAGCTTCAGAAGCTACTTGAAATAAAGAGTTCTTGTAAAAAAAACATTAAAAAAAGAAGAGTGGATTCAAGGAGGTAGCTACGGCGACTGCTTTCTTGCTTGCTCGTTATTAAATGGTTCTTATAAATTGAATTTTGATCCAATATCTAACTGCAAACTCTGAACCTTAAAAGTGCATTTAAAAATTATTTTTTTACATATTTTCTTGATATATTTGTCTTAAGTTGAAAATTTATATGAAAATTTATATGTAAAATTTATATATAAATATTTATTGCACATTTGCAGTGTTCAAACGCTGAATTCTGAAGCAAACTTGCTTCAGAAACAAGAGATCTGTGGCAGTGACAGATCTAGCATTTTTTGGTGTTTGAGATAATATGGAGCAAAATCCAAACATTTGTATGTTTATATTTAGGTCAAATAATGATGCTTTTTAAAGTTACAATGATTGGAGGCTGGGAACAAAAAAAGCCCTAAAATTTTATCCTCCTGCCCCAAATGAAAGCAACAAGTTAATGAAATAATTTTTTTGCTATTCTTAACTAAATTTATATTTATCGATAAATTAAAAGTATTGTTTTACCATCTCTAAGCGTTCAAAAATTATGACTATATAAAATTTGTAGCTTCCTCAAACTGTGGGGGGCTTTAACATTATATGGTTATAATTTATGAACTCTGGGAGATATTACTATGAAAGTTAAAATTTATCAATGAATATAAATAAAGTTAATAAGTTCAAAAAATTCTTGTTGCTCTCACATTTGGGGCAGGGGGATGAAATTTTAGCTTTTTTTGGTACAGGAACACATAAAGAAAACTTTATTGAACAAATTAACTGGATTTGACATCAGAATCTATTGGCGCCAATACTTGGAAATTGCTCTAAATTTAGGCAAAAATAATAAAAAGCATAACTTCAAATAATCGGCGCTTTTTTTACTATCAAGAAAAAATAAAAAACAAAAAAATTTTATATATAAATATGACCTCTATGCCACTCATTAGCCACTCCGCATAAAAATTGGTTGTTGAAAAAATATTACGGGATTGGCTAATATATGTATATATATATATATATATATATATATATATATATATATATATATATATATATATATATACATATATATATATATATATATATATATATATATATATATATATATATATATATATATATATATATATATATATATATATATATATACATATATATATATATATATATATATATATATATATATATATATATATATATATATATATATATATATATATATATATACATATATATATATATATATACATATATATATACATATATATATACATATATATATACATACATATATATACATACATATATATATATATATATATATATATATATATATATATATATATATATATATATATATATATATATATATATATATATATATCAAACCACATCAAAAATGGCAAGTTTTATGGCATTAAATGTCAATTTAAAGATCTATAAGAACAAAATGTAATAAAACCAACCTCAAGCTTGCTTTTAAGTTGTGCAATTTCTGTATCAATTTGATATAAATCATGCCTCTGCATGTTTGCATTTAACTTTTCAGTAGCTATTTTGAAAAAGAAAAATATTTAATTGTTGCTAAAAAATTGTTAGAAAAAAAAATAAAAATAAAATAAAATCAACATATATACTAACACTAACACTGCACTGGTTTGAAAACAAGAGGTAACATATCCCTGGTAGTAACACACTTAACATGTATCAATGCGCATCAGTTTTTATCACCAAGTTCAAAACAAAAAAAGAAAAAAAAAAATTTAATATAATAATTTTTCTTAAAACAAAGAAATTATAATAATTATTTTTTAAACATGAAACAATCAGTTTTTTTGAAAGTGAAAGTGATCAAAAACAAAAATTAAAGATTTTTTTGATTTTATTTTTAAGTTTGTAATAAAAATTTAAGTTTAGATTTATGAAACTTGTATGTTTTAACAAGAAAAATTGTCAACCACCAATCATCAACCAACATAATATTTTTCTACAAGCAATATTATACAAAAATTATATTGAGTGGATTGAAATAATTTGTTATTGATATGATTTTTTATGTTTAATACATTTAGATACTGAAATATTATTTAATACATTTAGATACTGTAATATTATTTAATACATTTAGATATTGTAATATTATTTTAAATTTTTAGATAACTTTTACTCAATCATAGTCTTTTTTACACGATTCTTTACTCAACCATAGTCTTTTTTACATGAGTTTGTTGTTTTTTTTCAAACTAAACTTCTCAAACCTATTTTTTTTAAATTCTTTTTTTTTTTTTGGAACTTTGCTTGATTTAGATTTTATAAAGCAGATTTAAATTTGATTCAAAATTTTTTTAACTCTAATTACAAATACAACTATACTATTTTTTTCAATTGTTGTAAAAAAATTCCTAACTATTTGTTTAAAATTAAAGCCAGAGATTTCCACTTGCTCTCTAGTGTTGAGTTTAGAGATTTTCTAGTAAATGTAAATTCTCTTGGATATACAACGCAAACTATAGGTAGTTGAAAAACAATAATAGAGAAACAAGTTGAGCATGGTTTTTCCAGAGAAGTGGCAGAATCAAACTCCATATTCGCTTATGAAGTATCTTAATCACTACACCACTACCACATAATATTATTTATTAATAACTTACAATTTATTGTTTGCACAAAACACTGATCATCTTGTTTTTCATTAGGTGATCTCTAAAATATATACATATCCATTTATAAACAAATATCATAATTTATTGGCTTAATCCCTCATATATTATTTTGTAGTTATAAAAAATATACTATCTACTATTTTGTTTAAAAAATTTTTAAACTTGTTCTATTTTGTTTAAAAATTGAAGTTTTGTAATTATAAAAAATATACTATGTTCTATTTTGTTTAAAAATCGAAGTTTTGTAATTATCAAAAATATACTATGTTCTATTTTGGTTACAAATCTGAGTTTCAAAAACAAAAAATAGATGGAAGAAAATAAATATTTTCAATGTTATTTAAAGTTACTTATGTTAACTTTTTTTTTTTTAAATACTAAATTGTTTTTGTTATTAGATCTTTAGAACCAGCTAGAAAAGGTATACCAAACAGTTTTAATAATTATAAAGAGTCACCAAATCACCAAAAGAGAAACCAGAAAAAAATAAATTATGTATTACTTGCATACATTTTAAGAAATTGGTTTTATGAAGCAAGTTGTTTGGAGTTTAGATTGAATTTTACAAAATTGAAATTCGTCTTGTGGCTGTATTTATTTTCCAGTCTTTTTATCCCCAGTCATATTCAAATAAAGGACAGTGTTATATTAATTTTCAGTAATTTAGTAGTTGTGATGCATATATATTTATAGTAGTTGTGATGCATATATTTTGACAGAATATTGTTGCATATCATTCTCAGATTTAAAACATTAAAAGTTGTGAAATTGTTTTTACTACTAAATGATTTGAAAAGCTCACCAGTTCTCAAATTATCTACATTGGTCGTTAAGATACCCTGTTATGAAAGTTTTAATATCGACTTAAAGGTTTTGTTACTTAAAAGTACGTAAATTTATAACTATTTTCAAAAACTGAAATAATAAAAGAAATATTAGTTTTATTTCAGATAATTATTTCAAAGATATTTTTTTTTATTTTAGGCCTAATATTAAATATTGCAAACTTTCTTAAAAAGGAACATAAATAAAAGATTTTATTTGTTTACATATAGAGCAAAGAGAACGGAAAGTTGTCTAAATAGCTGACAATCCCTGCAACAACAACAAGTAAGGAATAACAACAGCAGCACAACCACTTAAAATATATCAGAAACTGAAAAGTCTAATAAAAAAATTTGATGGATTGTTCTTGGGGATTAGGTTTTGGGATTAGACTTCAAGATAAGCATATCACAGCAAAGTCCTAAAATTAATAATTTAATGAAAAAGCTTTGTTAAACAAAAATGGCTTAATGTATACAAAAATTATTCCATTTGTAGAAAGGGTTATTGACATATTTTTATTTTCTGGAGAGAGATTTAAAATTTTTTATTTAGAATTATTTATTTAAAATTATTGTTAGCTTATATAATTTGCTACAATTAAATGAAATTGTGAAAATATAATTACTCTATTTTTTTTTATTTTAATGTAATCTTAACACATTGTTTATTAGTTAGAATTTAATGAGGTTTTATTTTTCATTTTATGAACTTTTTATAATCTTTGTCTTCTG